GATTCAAAGAGAAGGGACAGCTAAAAACCAAACCAACTCATAGCAGAGTGTTTGCCAAGCATATACAAGACCTTGTGTTCAATTCCCAGCACTGGAAAATATTTTTAAATCAACCATTTCATAACTTTGTAGGCTGTCTGGAATGTTCAACTTCCCCAGGGCACAGACACAGAGCAGTGGGAAAAATAGGAAGCAATCCTGAATACCAGCTCCAACAGTAACCTGGAGTCTGAGAAAAGCCTGCTAATTCCAAACAGACTTCTAGACCTTTCTGCCCTTCCATTTACATTTGTACTGCTCATTCTACCCCAAAACAGGCTTTAAAAAAAGGTATAGGAAGGATGCATGCTAAAGAAAAAGGAGCCTTGCCTTTTTATAAAAGTTCCCTAAATGACCAACATGCTTATGACATGTATCTTATAATGTCAAAACCCCTCCTCTACCTGATTTAGACTCTAGTTCACCAAAATGACAAGCATGCAATCCTTCAGTCCATAGCAGTTAAATTATATCTGAACTAATACAAGGTTTGATTGCCACCTAGTGGGAGAGAGGAGAATAACACCGTCGTCGCAAAGCCACACGGTTTTCCAAAGGAAAGGTGATTGATTCTTGGCACTACAGTCAGGAGTGCTAACTAGCCGGGATATGTGGCAATGTAAATTAGAGACGTATAGACATTTTAAAGTCCTCATTTTACAACTATGAGATAAGACTAAATGAACCCTGATTTGAAAAGGCTTGTTAAGAGACATCAATTATACTATACACATGGCACACAGATAGCAGAGTAGGGTGACTCAAAGGATTGAAGCTTGGTAACAGCTGTAGAAGTGGGATCTTCCACGGGAAGACACAGTGTGTCTGGGCTTTATTTACATGTGAGAGCGGGAGGATCCATATCTCATCAGAAACATCATAGCACACATTTTTTCCTCATCAAGTAGTAGTTTCTGCATTCTCAAACAGAAAATTTGATTCTGTTTAATTGTTTGATTAATTTGATTCTATTTAATTTAATTGTTGATTAATTCACAAGTAAAAGCAATGACTGCTAAGTTCTTACAAGTGGCTGCCTTCCTTCATACATGCTTACCAGTCATGCCAGGATTGAAAATAGTGGATTCCTTCTTTGACAAATTTCATTATAGAAAAGGTATTTCCATTTAATCTACCCTGTGAGATGAAATTTTCAAACACCTGAACTGCCAACTTATTGTCATGGATGCACTTTAATGACCTATGTCAATTGTCATAGTGGTCAACTGTTTATCACAGAACTTAGAAGTTTCAAGAGAGCTCTAAGAATTCAGTCAGCATTTATTAGTGCTTATACTCACTGATATTGGAATAGACAAGTGAGACTCACAATCTCAACTTCTGTTTCTTCTAATGCCACTACTAATGACAGAGATAAACTGCTTGTGTGATAAACTTCACAGTACCATCTTTAGCTATTGGAAGGCTGAAAAGTCAAGTTCCTGGAAACGGTAACAATATCATCACAATCAAGACACATCTCCAGGCTGGAGATGACTGCCCCCAATGGGGAATGAGAGTGGAAACGAAATAGGTCTCGGGCTCCTGCTAACACTGTTTACCAATCTGTCTTACCTCAGCTGCTCAGTTTCTCATCTACTTCTTCCCCCAGACTTCATTTCTACATACTGTGTTATCTATAAGGCAGTGATTAATTTTTACATAAACGGTGGCATACTATACATTTTGCTCTGCATTTTTTTTCTTTTAACAAAGTAAGTTGACGAGTTGTTCCATTTGGATATATCATAAAGCCACCTCCTTTGTATTAGATGAAAAATATTCCATTGTATGAATATGATATAATTTAGTTTTCCAGTTCTGGGAGAGAAGACATTTTGTTGCTTTCAGTCTCTGCAGCTTACACAGCGCTGCACATACATCACTTGACCCTGTGAATCAGCGTGTGTGGTCGTAGGATTGCTGATACACAGCAACTTCACAGTTGGCTGGGGCATTTGGGAGCAGGATCACACTAAATCTGTGGATTAAAGTTTGTTTGCTTGTGGATGCATGTCTGTGTGGGCGTGTGCACATTTGTGTGTATGTGTGTGTGCATGCTCATGTGTGTGCATGCGTGTACATGTGACCACAAATAGTGAACACATGTATGCAAAGCCAGAGGTCAACATCAGGCCTCTACTGCTTCCACTTTTTTTTTTCTCAGATGGTCTCTCACTGACCCTGGAGCTCATCAATTTGGCTAAGCAAGCTCACTGATGATTACCCAACGCCATCTGTCTCTGCCTCCCAGTGCAGTGATTATAGGCACACACCACAGTTCTTGAATTTTACATGGGTGCTGGGGGTCCAAATTCAACTGCTCATGTTTGGGTGACAAACACTTTACCAACAGAGCCTCTCCCCTGGATTAAAATTTAAAAAGCATAATCTTTATTATTTTTACCTGGAGTAGAATATGACTTTTGAAAGTCATATTTTATTGCTATCTATCTTTTTAGCATATACACTTCAACATTTCTTTTTTTTTAAATATTTATTTATTATGTATACAATATTCTTTCTACGTGTATGCCTGCAGGCCAGAAGAGGGCACCAGATCTCATTACAGGTTGTGAGCCACCATGTGGTTGCTGGGAATTGAACTCAGGACCTTTGGAAGAGCAGGCAATGCTCTTAACCGCTGAGCCATCTCTCCAGCCCACACTTCAACATTTCTAAGAGAAGATAATCTTTAACGTGTCTCAATCACTGCTGGCCCAGTGGTAGCGTGGTAGTGAGTTCTGGGGGTGTGCTGACAAATAGCTGTCACCCCTGGCCATTGCAGTCAAACTACTGAAGGCGCTGGGGGAAGAGGGAGTCCTGTGTGAGAAGACCTCCCATGACCCCTGCTGGGAGGACCGCAGCACTGCAAGTGTGGAAACCTGCCAGCATCCTCATCAGCAAATGAGAAAATCAGAGAATGCTGCATCATCACAACCACCAACTGTCCTCAGGCGAAAAGGACAATTCTGCATGTTGGTTGGCAAGGGGTGGGGTAGGAATGGGACACAAAACCTGTCTGACTACTCTGAATCAAAAAGGAACCCAGAAGAATCAGGTTTTCTAAATTTCAGTAATATCTTAACCAATGTACTTTGTCTATATTATCAACTTTATAATTATATAAGAAATAAATGAGAAAATAACAAATATGGCCAAGAGTTCTTTCAGTAAATATAAAGCAAAATTCCAAGTCCAGCTTTTTACATATATACTACACAGAGACCCATTGTGTTTGGGTGTGTTAAGCTTTTTTAAATGATCTTCTTATGTGTATGGGTGCTTTGTCTGCCAGAATGTCTGTGCACTGTGTTAATGCCTAGTGTTGAAGGAGGTCAGAGAGGGCATCAGATCTCCTTGGACTGGAATTGCAGATGTTGTGAGCCACCATGTGGGTCCTGGAGATCAAATCTATGTTCTCTGGATGAATAGTCAATACTCTTAACCACTGAGTTCTCTCTCCAGCTTCTCTTTGTATATTTGTATGTACACTGTATGTATGTATGTATGTATGTATGTGTGTGTGTGTATGTATGTATCTGTCTGTCTATCTATCTAATCTATTCAAGATAGGATCTCACTGTGTAGCCACGGTTGTCCTGAAACTCACTCTGTAGACCAGGCTGGCCTTGAACTCACAGAGATCTGTTTGCCTCCGATTCCCACGTGCTGGGATTAAAGGCATGTGCTACTATGCCCAGCTTTGTATATTTTAAATGCAATTGATAATAACACCTCAGATTTGATGAAATACTCAAAATCCTATTTTACATATTTCAGAAACATTTTAGTTTTTCTCACAGATTTTGCATATTCCTATTAAAACTACTTTGAGTGTGTTTTATATTTTTTTCTAGCTAATATTCTCACTGGCAGGCTATTTATTTTTACCTTCCATTTGATATTTATTTATTTATTTATTTATTTATTCATTCATTCATTCAGTGAGTGAGTGAGTGAGTGAGTGCCCTCAAGTGCTATTGTGCTTATTTGGAGGTCAGAGGACAACTAGCCCTGGGTAAGTTCTCTCCCTCTACCATGTGAATCCCGGGGATTTAACTCAAGTAGTCAAGCTTAGTGGCAAATGCCTTTTCCTGCTATCCATCTTGCTAGTTCCTTGGGTTTTTGTTTGTTTGTTTTTAAACAGACAAGGTATCACTGGGTAGCCCATGCTGGCCTTAATCTCACAATCCTCCTGCCTCTGCCTCTTGAGTGCTGGATGATAGGTGTGTGCCATCACTTTTGGTCTTACTTTTGCCTATTTTGTAGGTAACCACTTTGGTATATGTGCCTGCAACTACGCACATGTACTGAGGCTAGAGGGCACTTGTCTTTTTATTAATCTGGAACTCACGTTTTTGATTAGGCTGGCAGCCAGCAAGTCCTAGCGATCCTCCTGCCTCTAACCCCTACATCCTTGCATTTAAAGGTGTGGATAGGCTTACGTCTAGCTTATGTGGTTGCTAGGATGCAATCTCAGGTCCTCAGCCTGCACAGCAAGCATCTTACTGCAGCATCTTTTTACTCAGTGACCGAGCTCACTTACTGTTACATTTTTTTTTCAGAAGATTCTTTTGACGTTTCCAGTTATAAGTTGAAAGACTATTTAATCTAAAATTATTTTAAATTATTGCAGGTATTTAAAATCAATGAAGGTGAAGACTATTCCTTTTCTATCTCTAGCATCTGATCACTTTGCATGAAGTGGGTAATCAACACATAGTTGAGTCAACTACACATATGCATCTTACTTGATAAAACAGACCTGCTGAATTCCAAAACACAAGACTATGGAAATGAGGAAACAGTATTCATATCATCATATACACATATGTCAGAGTATAAGTCTGAAAGAAAAAGCGTATTTCATTATCAGTTCTCGTCAACTTTTTGGCTGTAATTTATTAGTCTTGATTGTTAGTAGCTCTAATTAGGAAACAGATGCATCAAAGTCTTACCTTTTAGATCTCAGGTCCGATGAATCAAACTGGATATTCATAGGTCCAGGATTTACTTCATCATCTACCTCAGAGATAAGATGCCTAGAGTCACTATCTGCATCTGCCATTTGTCGCAGGTTCTAGGCACTGAGGAAGTTACTCCTGTATAAACCAGAAAAGGGTAATTCAGTTTAATCTTAAAAACATTTTACTATTTTTAATATATTTGCATGCAAAAGACATAGGAAAGTGTGGGAATCTGCTGAAGGAATCATTTTTGAAGATGGTGCTCTGTTACCTAGATTGGTCTCCAACTCTTAAGCAAGCCTGAAAATATAGGTATAAAGCTATCATGACTTAAATGAGATTTATGATTGACATAATTATCAGAAATATTAGTAACTTGAAATTTCTTAGCTTTCAGCTTTAGTTCATTTCTAGGAATATGGCAGATTCAGTTATTTGGACCCAACACTGGAAAAGAATACTTTATAAATTATTTGAAAAGTTTAAAAAAACAGGGAGTTGAGTCTGATAAGTTGACAGTAAAGAAAAGAAACATTGAAATAGCTGTTTTATCAGAATTTGAGCTCAAGTACAAGAAGTAAGTGGGTTTTACTCTCTTACAAGGAAGTCAAGCTTTCTCTACACCGTGGCTAGTGGCTATCATATTAGGTGGTATGAAGTAAAACACTTCAGCTCTAGAAAGCTCGGTAGGTTTAAGCACGACAGCTTCTACAGGAATACTAATAACCAACCATCTCTCCTGAACTCACACTTGTACATCCAACTGGCTACTCACTGTTACCTGGATATAACCATAACTCAAATTTAGCATGTTCCAAACTTGATTTTCTTCCTCAAAAACCCATATATACACTGCTTTCCTAACTTCAACTAGTAGGATCTTGTCCTTCTAATCGCTCTGGTCAAAATTCTTGGAACCATCAGTGACTGCTTTTTCTTATTCTCAGCATCTAATCCATTATTCAAAGATATCCAGAATCAGACCATTACCAATTCTTAAAAAGTTACAACTGTTTTCTTTTTATTATTACTGGTATATATGAAATTTTACTTTAAAATGCTTAAAATTTATTTTACTCTCATCCCTGGGTACCCATGTTTAACAGAAATGGTTGAAAACAGAACTTTGGGAAGAATAAGAATAGAGTCTATACTGTCTTCCTCATCTATTGGATGCAAATTTTTATTATATTAGAATTGCCGAAATCTCAAGGCATTAAAATATATATTATGTGTCATATAAAATATAACATAAACCAAATGTTATACTCTAGAATAACTCATTTGCTCAAATGTTTTGTTTTGCTTATTCTATTTTCATTGAAAAATCATGTCCTGTACAATTAAAATGATCTAAAATTGAAGTCTGTATTTCAATAGGAGTAGCATATAGAATCTAAGGTAACTTCCAGATCAGAAAAGATCTTAAAGAACTTCAGCTACATCTCTTTCTTCAATCAGGTTCCCCAAACAATATTTAATGAAAATAGAAAAAGAAATACAAAAGCTGAGTGGAGCTCCCTGCTACTACCCTGTCCTACCGTCTGTTCTATCACAAAGAGCATATAAAGAGATGTAGAACAAAACAATATAAAAAAGATTTGACATCACCTAATTAATTGGAATGACTTTGGGGAGGATGTGTGTACTGCACATAAGGGGCAGAGATTGGTGAGACTGCCAAACATCTAACAATGCACGAGACAACTCCCTACCAAGAAATTATCTAGGCAAGATAGTATCCCTTCTGATGCCGAGAGTACACACTAGAGGAGCAAGAAGAGGTTATACAGGAAAGACAGGACATCTTGTAATGGCAGTGTTCAACTTCTTCAATCTAATTCCAGTTACAGGGATATTTGCTCTACAACTCTCTCTCTCTCTCTCTCTCTCTCTCTCTCTCTGTCTCTCTCTCTCTCTTCGTGTGTGTGTGTGTGTGTGTGTGTTTAATGCAGTTTTCTGTATGACTATTTCACTATAAAATGCAAAGAACTACATAAAATAAAATTGTGAGCTGTAAAAATAATTGTCATATTTTTTCTTTGCCCTGTAGTTACTGTTAGTATTGTCATTCTACACCGAAAGATAAAAGGCACAAGAACAATCACGGAATGTCAGAGCTGAGGTAGTTCAAACCAGAGCTGATACTCTTCCCCACGGAGCTGGGCGTCTTTCCTGATCTTTGTCAAGTCGTCTTTGCTTTATCTTTCACCTTCTCCTGTTTCCTGTTATTGTGGACACTAAGCAAGTACTGTGTTCCTGATTTGTTTAATGGACTCTTCCATCAGCTTTCCTCATTCATTCTTTTCCTGCTCCCTCCCTCACCTTTCACCCCTGCCCCCTCTTTCTCTCTAGTGGTGAGTACAGGCTATCACAGGTGGTGGATGAGTGCTCTGCCCCTGAGCCACACCCTGGCCAAACGTATCCTGATTTTCTAACTGTAATATTTATGGAAGGAAAGGAAATCCAGGATCTCCCATTCACCTGTGTGATTTAGCACTATCCATTTAACCTCTGTGCCACTATTTCCCTCCCATGATATGGTAACAGTAACATCCACCTACCTAAGGACTAAAAATCGTGCTGCATACATTTTAACTCTGTCTTGAGAAATGTTCAGTTTTATTGATATGCTTCTCAATAAACAAATAAAAATATTTTTTTCTTTTCTTTTTTTAAAAAAGTCACCTTTTGAACGTCTCCCTTTTAAATAAAAGTTTCATTAATAATAAACATTTGGGCAATTGCCACCAACAGGCCATTGACTGTGTGACACAGATGCTAGTAACTTGTTCTATTCCCCACATATGTGCATTTTTTTCTGTTTGTTTGTTCCCCTTTCACTTCCCTCTTTGGTTCTGCTTTTCTGTCCAATATGTAAGTCAGCCAAGTCCTCGTTAATACTACTAAAGACAAACACATGCTAGAGAAATACATAAAACAGTATTTTGCCAGAGAAACATCTCAGAGACTGGAAGGGAAAGCCAAGAGTGGCTCAGCGGCAGAGTGCTTGACCAGGATGTGAGAGGCCCTGGGCTTGATCCCCATCCCCACAAAACGAGGAAAAAGAGAGGAGCAAAAATAATACCATTCCAAAATAAATATTTCACTTCCACATGCTACTCCCCTTTCTCCTCCATAACTCACTAAATAAACATCCAACCTCACTCTGTGTGGTGTGCCTATCCATGTCTCTTGTCTCTCGCCTGCCCAGTAGCTCCCTGCCTGGGACCAGCCATCTTTGGAGACCTGTGGCATTGTCTCGTGGTGTGCCTATCCGTCTGTCTCTTCTCGTGGGACTCGCTGTCCCTCAAGGCCCACAGCAGTCACTTGGGGAACTGCACCGTCCCTGCCTGGGACTGGCTGCTCTCAGGACCCGCTGCCCACTGCCTCCCTTCCCCCCCCCCCCCAGCAGTGGAGACCTGCAGGATGGTCTCATGACCTGCTGCCCACTGCAGCACTTGGGGAACTGACTGCAGCATTTTACTTTTACTTAAACCATGTTTACGTAAACCCCAAACACAGTCAGTCATTCAACAAGTGCTTCCTGAGAACCTACAATGTAAAGAGGAGCTAAGAAAAATAGAAAATTAAGCCCCATTTCCTACCATCAATAAATTTAAAAATACAATTTATAAATCTGAGAGAATACTCCCTAAATCTCTTAAGTGCTAACCCAGTAACATGCAAACCCAATGCCAATGTGCAGTTCATTATTTCAGTTTTAGCACAAGTCTATACTAGTCCGGGGCCCTAGTTCCAAACCAGCTGAGCAAGAGATCAGTGAAAGATGTAATCCAAGTTAGCGCCTGGCTATTGAGAACAGTGCTTCAATAACCATGAATGTGCAAAAACAAAACAAGATTTATCCCTGGTTAAAAAGCTTTATCGATTGGTCCTTTGAACAGATTCATACACCACACTGTACACTTTCAAATGTGAAGCAAAAGAACATTCTCAACCTTCCTAAAGCTGTGACCCTGGAATATAGTTCTTCCTGTTGTGTTGACCCTCAACTAGAAAATTATTTCATTGCTACTTCATAACGATCATTTTGTTACTTTTACAGATTGTAATGTAAATCTCTGATATGTGATCACTAGAGAGGTCGCAACTCACTGGTTGAGAACCAGTGCTTTAATGTAAAGTACACACTGTTTGGAGAACTGGTCCTTTAATGTAAAGTACACAGTGTTTGGAGAACCAGTGCTTTAATGTAAACACTGTTTGGAGAACCAGTGCTTTAATATAAACACTGTTTGGAGAACCAGTGCTTTAATGTAAAGTACACACTGTTTGGAGAACTGGTCCTTTAATGTAAAGTACACAGTGTTTGGAGAACCAGTGCTTTAATGTAAACACTGTTTGGAGAACCAGTGCTTTAATATAAACACTGTTTGGAGAACCAGTGCTTTAATGTAAAGTACACACTGTTTGGAGAACTGGTCCTTTAATGTAAAGTACACAGTGTTTGGAGAACCACTGCTTTAATGTAAACACTGTTTGGAGAACCAGTGCTTTAATATAAACACTGTTTGGAGAACCAGTGCTTTAATATAAACACTGTTTGGAGAACCACTGCTGTAAAGTACACATTATTTAAAGGTAATTGTTACTGGGATCCCATTACTATGGTAGCATCTCTGATAACATTAATTTTTTAAAAGAGTTGAAATGCAAAAAATTGAAGTTTGTTCTTTCATTTATTTATTTATTTATTTTGAGGAGTGTTTCACTCTGTAGTCCTGTTGGTCTCAAATTTGCTAAGCTGCACCCAGCATGATCAAACTGGGCTCAACTACTTCCTTTATGTAATAAAATAAGTCAGTTCACTTGCTGGCCTTAAGTTTAAAGCCAACCAACCAACCACCACCACCACCACCACCAAAAAACCCTTAGATTCTAAGGCAAGACAGACAAAAGGTTAAGAAGATGTGAGAAGTGAAGGAGTCCCGGAGTCCAGTTAAACTCACCTGCTAAAAGTCAAAGCTTGCAGCAAAATGAACAAAATTTACCATAGGGATTGCCTACATAAAGATAATATTATTTTAATAGAGATATTTCAAATGAGAATAGCAATGAACCATGCTTAAGGCCAAAGTATACTTGAATATGGCCTTACTCCTTTCCAGGTG